AAGGTCTTTCACAGACGTGATTGAAAAGCGGGTGACAAAAATAGTGTTGGGACTGAGTGTTGTCTGGAAAACGTACACTCAGGGAGGCTGTCTCAGATGCATTATTGATTCTTAGGCACGCGTATACGGGGTGAGAGGAAATATTTTACACGCTGGTAACATTGAAAATACAGTAACATATCCATTCGCATAATGTTTCTAACTTGTAAATGCCCAGTGGTCTATGATTCCCAATTTTTTTTTTTTTAAATGACACACAGTCAGCACTACTGCCCTAGAGCAAGAGGCAGACCGAGAGTACGATGGATAGACAATATATCAGAGATCCTGAGGCAACACGGACTAACAACAACACGTGCAACACACCTGGCCCAGGATAGAAAACTGCGACTCCCCACTACGCTGTGAGGCAATTGTGGACAAGACAAGACAAGACAGTCAGTGCTAAATATAAAATGTTATTAGAAAGCTCAGCGGATGTAGTGGGGGAAAGGTGCACAAATACAACCCAATGTCCCTCACTCCGCTGAGTTTTCTATTCAAATTTTATGTTATTTAGCACTTTTTATTAGCAGTTCAGATGCAGCAAAACCTTGTTTACGATTTAGTGCCTTTATTGCACACTTCTACTTAGAGTAATCCGTATTAGGCCTATTTGTTCTCGTATCTAATATTGTTGTGGTTTTTTTTTTTTTAAATCCTCGCTCTTCTTCTTCTTCTGCTGCTGCTGCTACAAAAAAGCCTGCTGGCACGTTGTGTTGTGGCTTACAGCTAGATTGTGATATATGCACCATTCGGCACAATACATCCGATTTCAGCAAACTCCTCATTGGGTGAAGTAAAAAAAAAAAAAAAGAAATAAAGGCCTTTTCCGTGCCTTAGGGGAGAATTGGGCATACAGGGTTGGACACCTATTTTATGGACCAGTGGGAACTCAAGGGGTGATGTGGTCAACATCCACTGGTCATCTTTACCTTCGAACACTTTACCTGGTACCCATTAAAGGTTAGGTTGAATTGAAAAACCAGGTAATTTTTGAACAAACAAAATCCAGCTACATGAGGATCTAATCACACGATCTTCGGATCGGCAGGCGAGTATCTAGCGGCTGCACTCGACGACTCCTAAACAGATAAATAGTATCATTTAACTACATGCTTCCTAACGGGCAAAGGGTCCATTCGTGTTTTCCTAAAATGGGTGCCAGGGAACTTACATATGGAGAACAATCATCTAAGTTATAAATCATAACACAGTACACATTCAAATAAAATTATGTCTGCAGTGTTTTTTTTTTAAGCTTCCTGAAGTATATTTATTTCAGTAATTATATTTCTGTGATTTAACTGCATTCTTCTTTACATAAAAAAAATTGTTTGTTGGTTTCTTGTGCTGACAATGAATATTTTATCTTGTTGTGACTGGCAGCTAGATTATGACTATATTCCCATGTTTAACTGGATGCTAGACCTTGACTATATTCCCATGTTTAACTGGATGCTAGACCATGACTATATTGCCATGTTTAACTGGATGCTAGACCATGACTTTATTGCCATGTTTAACTGGATGCTAGACCATGACTTTATTGCCATGTTTAGCTGGCAGCTAGACCGTGACTATATTCCCATGAATAACTGGCAGCTAGACATTGACTGTATTCCCATGTTTAACTGGATGCTAGGCCATGACTATATTCCCATGTTTAACTGGAAGCTAGATCATGATTATATTCCCTTGTTTAACTGGAAGCTAGACCATGACTATTAACTGGGAACTAGACCATGACTATATTTTCATGTTTAACTGGAAGCTAGACCTTGACTGTATTCCCATGTTTAACTGGAAGCTAGACCATGACTATATTTTCATGTTTAACTGGAAGCTAGATCATGATTATATTCCCTTGTTTAACTGGAAGCTAGACCATGATTATATTCCCTTGTTTAACTGGAAGCTAGACCATGACTATATTTTCATGTTTAACTGGAAGCTAGATCATGATTATATTTCCTTGTTTAACTGGAAGCTAGACCATGACTATTAACTGGGAACTAGACCATGACTATATTCTCATGTTTAACTGGAAGCTAGATCATGACTATATTCCCATGTTTAACTGGAAGCTAGATCTTGATTATGTTCCCATGTTGTTACTAGCAGCTTTTTCTATACCACCCTTCCCCCACCACATTTTTCCAGATCGCTATCTCAAGATTGACCATCCAAAAATTATAAAAATCTCAGCCTGGATGGCAAGCCAACAAGGTAAATCCCAGGATATCCTGTATAATTATGGGGTCTGTACTGGCCATACCAGCCCTCTGTAAATTTAAGTTGAGTGCAGGATTATGATACTACAGATCACGGCTGAAACTAGACAGTCACACAAAGAATCTCACAGAAACACGAAACATAATATCATCTGGTACATGGAGGCAGGGGAGCCATCATGGTATAATGGCTATAACACTCTCCTGTAGATCCTAAGGTCATGTGTTCAAGTCCTGACACAGCCTGAAATGGGTGCCAGGTACAGTCCTGAGAAGCAAGGGCTGTCAACATGATGTTGACCACACCACCCACTGAGTGCTTGTTGGTCTGTAAAAATGGGTCTAATCCAATGTGTCAAATATGCATGGAGGCTAGAAATAGGGTAACTTTATTTTTACATGAAGGAAGATGATGTTCTGTATTGTGTGCGACAACCATAGCAAAATGTTTACTTTATTACAGCTGTAGCTGTTCATGGCTAATCTGGAGGGTGGAGGACAGTAGAGAGTCTAACTACATGTTCTCTGATGAATCACATCGGCCACCGGGTCTCCCCTGGCGGGACAGTACTGGGGTCTAACTCCTTTGATTGCATAAACACTACAAGAATTTCTTTCAGAGCTTCTTGGTCGCGAGCAATGCTAAGCCATTTTATATGGCAGACATAACCTGGTCACAATTATAACCAAAAACTTCCCCTTCAGGAATACTGGCTGAACGTGAGGATTTTTTTTTCAACACAGCAAACCAAAGTTTCTGAAGAGTTACTGATCAGCAGAAGATATGAAAGTTGACCTTGCTATGAATTAAAGATGTGTGAAAGTAGAACATGAATGATACAGATATTGATGAAGATTCTTGGGAACAGGATGCCAAGGACAGTATTGACAGAGAGTGAATATCTGAGGGGTAAAGGAGAAAACGACTGTATACAAGTTCAGAGCTGAATTTCGGAGAAGTGCATTAAATGCATGCTATTGCCACAAAGGTCATGAAGTCCTGAACTCCATGCTCTAAATGTGGAATATTTCTACTGCAATATGTGCTTTGCAAGTCATACACGCCATTGCCAGGGGCTATGCTTGCCATGCCTCTCTATAGCATAATATAACACTAGGATTAACACCAAACTGATCTATTTGTAATCTTTTCCTCATCTCTCTCTCTCTCTCTCTCTCTCTCTCTCTCTCTCTCTCTCTCTCTCTCTCTCTCTCTCTCTCTCTCTCTCTCTCTCTCTCTCTCATTTTATTTGTAATTCATGTTTTCACCTTGTGGACTTTCAAAACTCATCATAATCAACATCATTATCATCGTCATTATCATCGTCATCATCATCATTGTCATCATCATTATCATCATCATCATTATCATCATTATCATCTTTCATTTGTATTGTTTACACACAACAGAAAAATTAAAGTCTATCTCTCCCCCTTTCCCCAGTTTGTTTTATCATGCACAGTCTTTTAGATATCATGGGTTGAATGCAGTCCAAGTGCCTAAGGTTTCGTTTATCAGTTACATAATAGTGTTCATAATATTTGTTACCAAGATACTAATTCAGTCTAAAACAATGGCTGAGATACGCAGATCAACTACACGTCATTAAATTTTTACTAAATAACCAACAGAATTGACTTGAAAATCCTTGGATAGAAAGGAGAAAGAAGGAAACTGATCCACCACAACACAATATACTGTGACCTTGTTTTTTGAATCTTTAACATTGCACGAACCTATAGCAGGTCATTATCTAAGACTAAGTTTATGTTTTATAAGAGAAGTGGGCAGATTAAACCAAATCAACACATATCTAGGCCCTGAATCAGTGAAAACAGGACTCTTCATCATTTGTTTTTAGTCTATAGGAGAAGGTCACGGGTAGTGAGCATACTTATGATTTTTTTCTCCAGGCTATGCCGGTGTGGTGGCCAATGAACAGGCAGACAGATTGGCTGGATCTGCACCACTGGGTGGTGAATTGATATATTACAAGGCAGATGTGGTCAAGGCTCTTTGGGAACAAGCAGCGAAATAAGTAGAGAAACAAGATTATTTTGGCCTGGAGAGAATGAGGCACTGGGTGTAACCAGAGGGTCTGGCTGCCTCACTATACTCAAAGGAAAGCCAAGACAGACATATAACCAGATTTGACTGGTATTATCAGTATTGGAACTGTGCTGGTTGCTAAAGATGAGGACGGAGTACACATGGGAATACCCCTAGTGCTGTGATGTCAATTCTTGACTCAGCTCAACTCAGCTAATCTATAGGAAAAATATTAAAGGTAACACAAGGCTTTTACTGTCAGATCAGACAATCAAATCTCTTTCTTAAATGTTTGTTGTATTTTAGACACAGTGTTACAGTCCAATGTGTTTGAAGTTGTTGTTGTGTTTGTTATTCGACCTATGCTTAGTTAAAAAACATTTCTGTAACCTATGGTGCCATTTCAAAGGTTTGAGGTGAATTCTGTCCATATTCCATAGTCGTAGATTTCAAGCTGAGCAAGAGACATGCCAGTGTCTTGTTTAAAGGGAATGCACAAAGGCCATTTGGAGGTGACAGGTTCGATTTTCAACACAGTAACTATTTGTTACAATGCTTATGTTGTCTAGTGTAAATATTACCATACACTAAAAAAAAAGCACGATACAATATACAGAAAAATCGTCATAAAAAAACAAAAAGAATTATTTTAAAAAAATTATGGGAAATAAAATTACCTTGTCTAACAAAAGTCTGATTCACATCAAGAAGAATGTCACAGCCTTCAACGATCATGCGTTCTATAGCCAGGTTCTTACGAATGTTTTCTGTTTCACTCACTTCATCATGCATGACCTACAATAGCAATATAATGAACATTTAAGTCACACAATTATGTGCATTTACATCTTTGACTTCAATTACTAAAGACAGTGAATATTCACATTCCATTTTATAAGTTTTACAATTTATCTAATTTTAATTACTCATTTCAGGACCAATATGCTAGCCATGAAAATAAGCCAGGGTGACCCTAAAATGTCCTGGCCAACGGACTGGTAAAGTTGCAACAGGTCTAGCAAGACAGAAATAAATTTATTATTGCTATAAACAACATAACCAAGTACGGGGGCAGCTAGCTCTCCTCACACAACATAAGTCTATCCATGTCATCACAAAGAGACATTTGAAAAAAAAAAAAAGCAAATTATCCCCAGCTTATGCTACCCATGCCATCAAGTGTTTTTCAAAGTGGTGTGGGCAGTCACGCTTCTTCAAATCTTGTGGTCTCAAACAGTATGTTCATCATGCACTGATGTTTTTTAAAAGGCTGCCAAGAATCTTCTTTCAGAGTCTTTTCCAACTCTTCTACTGTAAACCAGTCCAGTTGTCAGAATATATTTTAGTTTTAATTCCTCTCATAATCATGGTCAACATAACAAAAGAAGTAACACTGACTGACTGACTTTCTACCCCACCAGTACATCACACAAGCGATAAACACCCGATGACACAATGTGCCACCATGTGGGTGAGGATCACTGTGGAGAGGTCCCTGAAACCGCGTTCAGCCTTTAGGCCATATTTATGACCAGGCTATATTGCGGCCCCTGACAAGAGCCAGATTAGGGCTTCAAATAACGAAACATTTCATTCTGAAAAGGACAAAAAGTTATTGAATGGAGGTAGCAAACAAATCTGTCACAGTCATCCAAATAACCTTGCAAGTGGTGTTGGTGATAACAGAAATGCTGGTTGAAACATATAAACTTGTTTACTACACATAAAAAGTACTCTAAAAGTACTGGACAGTTTTGAGAAATGCCACTGCTGTCTCAAGAATCCGCAAAGGGGTGCCTTCTGCTGTTAGCAGGAGTATCACAGAGCAGGGTACTCACTTGCCCTGGCAATCTTATAGAATGCCAAAGACTGAGAACATAGTCTAAAGCCATGTGGATGTGGAAATCAAGGGCAAACTACCACCTTATTTTCCCAAGAAACTTATCACAGAAGCAAAAATTTATTTAGAAACAAAGAATGAAATGGTTTGGCCATCTAATGAGAATGAAACCACCAATGCTAGCATCAATAGTGTACAACCTGAAAATTGAAACACCAAGAGGCAGTGGAAGATCAAGAAAAGATGGATTAAAGGAGTCACTGACACCTTGAGACTGCATAACATCACGGCATATAAAGTGACTGAGCGCACCCTAGCTCAGCTGTGGATCATCTGATAAGCTGGAATGCATAGCGGTATAAGCAGATATTGACAAAAGAAGAAGAAGATGGTACCAGGAAAGAGGGGTAGCGGCTCTCCAGCACAAAGACAGGCATATGATATATAGTGACACCTTGGGTAGAGAAATGCACAAGGTGGGAGAGCTGGGGAAAAAAACTAATTTCTCTTTAGCAGCTAGGTTAACCAAAGTTTTCACCCCACCAGGACATCACACAGAGGGATAAACACCAGTGACACAAAGTGCCACCACTTAGATGAGGTCTCAGAAATCCTGTTCAAGTGTTAGGTTATAATAGCGCCCTCAAAATAACGGAAAATTTCATCTCATATTGGGACGGTTACACTTAATAGCCAAGTTTCTCTCAGGCAGACTTGATTTAAGCAATGTTCTGCAAAGGATCCGCTACAAGACGATAACATTTAGAATATGCCCCCCTACCCCCACACAAAAAAAAAACTATCCTAATATAGCTTTGAAGCCTAGTCAGACCAGTGGTCAAGAATCTACTGCTGCACTACCATGGCTTCCATGCTGCTGTTTTGTATTTATATGAAGGTAAAAGCCATCTTACCTTGGATAACTCCTCTAGCTTGCTTTTGGCAAATTCCAGACTCTCCCTTTCAACATGGTCATGGGGAGTGTGTGCAAGAAGTTCATGCAATGTAATGATGTATCTCGGAATCTATTCATTTAAAAAAAAAGTGATAATTAGTAACTGAATGAAATCTTAAAAAGCACATTTTTTTTTCTACATTCGTTGCAAAGTACTTAAACAACATAGTCTGAAACATAAGAATGAAAGTATATAAATAATAAATATAATTTGTGAGCAGTTTATATTTTTATGTTGTTATTATGTTGAAAACTAAGTATAATGATAAAGTATTTTTGTAAACCCTTAGTTTAGTGTACTCTTATAATAACATATTTCAGATTTCATTGACAAATTATAATGTATACATTAATTATTAATTTGTGTTACAGCTATCAAGCAGCATTATTTAACCTTATTTCTAAATTGCTACTACTTTTTAAATAAATTACAAACCTCAATAAACTGTGCAATATCATATCAGTTATAATGAATACATTTAATTAGATAAATGCTGAGTTTGAACTAATAACAACATATTTATTTTTTTTAAAATCACTGCATAGGCTACATTCAATTTAACAGTTTCAACATTATCAGACATCTCTATTTTCTTATCAGCCAGTTAAATTTGGACTTCTCTGGAAATTTAATAACACACACATTACTTGGAGTTGACAATATACTGGTAGTACTAATTAAAGTTACAGTGTAAAGATACAGGTAATCTTCTTTTCTCTAGCCTTGTCATGATTTAATGAACACTTAAAAATCTATTGATCGACAGTTTTTGTGTGTGCAGAAAAAAATTGCAAGATAAACACAATTTTTTTATAGACTGCAGTACAGAAATCCCATGCACTTGAAATTAATTTGCATAGGAATGCCTGCAAATTAGGAAGAAGAGGAAGGGTGATTACATTGTACATTTTCTTTAAACAAAGCAACAATTCATTAAAAGTTATGACGTATTATTTTCTCCCTCCATTTATTTAGTAAAGTATTGAGGAAGAAGTAAGAATCATCTGAGTTATCTTTCTAATGTAAATTGACCTGCATTTATCTGTTGTTTTCTTCATGCTGTCTCTTCACATTTGCATGGTCTTTCATTTGCTCTAATCATCATCATCATGTTCTATGCCTGCAAGCATAGGCAGTCATGTTTTACCTTCTTAAACAATCACCAGAATCATGGATCAGTTCCGTGTTGTTGTCTTGACCCACCCATCTTGCCAGGCCATCCAGTTATTTATCATTGCCTTCCTCTTGCGCTCCTTGCATCAGTAGTTACTAAGTCTTGAGTCCATTCCTTCTCATATTATGTTTTACAAACCATGACTGTCTATGTTTAATTGTTTTAATAAGTTTATGACTTCCATCTGTCTCAATTAAGACTGCTTAGTTTGTTATTCTATCCTTCAATTATATTTATTTTTCTTTATTTTTTCTTAGAAACCACATCTGTAACATGAATACAGAAACCATTTCTCTGTCCCTCTGTGTGTATTATATTTTTTCCAGTGTCCCTTTAAATTTATACAGGGCATTTCTGTTTGCAGGCCAAGTGCTTGTAATGTTGTTGGGCCCTAAAAGAGAGTGACTTCCCTTGCCATTCATGTGTGGTCACGTTGCAGGTACAGTCCTATGATGTGGGGGTGTCACGCTTAGTGATGGCCAGCAACCTGAGGAATTTTAGGCATTGTTGTTAGCGATATCGTGTGTTCTACATTCCATAGTGTGAATGCTTTTAACAGCCCAAACCCAAACCCCCTACACCACAGCCTCCACTATGTCCCACAAGAGATTGCTGCCTACCTTCCACAACTGCATGCAGCCTATGACAACCACTCATAAAATATGTAGTGTTGCTGGATGCTCACTAAGCGTGACACCCTCTGCAACATACGACAGACCCTGCGACTTGATCAGGGACGAATGACAAGGGAAGTCACTCTCTTTCTTGGCCTGACTACATTACTAGAACCGCAGGCCAAACTATTTTATTTGTTGTTCTTTATTGAGTTGTATGACTTATTCCAAATCCAGACTAACTTATTCCAATCCAGTCTTTGGTTTTAATTTTTATCTCTCCTTGTTAATAAGGCAGCTTTTCTAATACATCTTATTTCTTTTGTTATAATTTCCAGTCATCATTTGTAGTAAAGGACCAATGTCTTATTAGTAGCATAATTTTATGAATGTATTTGTTCTTACAGCAGAATATCTGGGAGGAAGGCATGGGGAAGACCAAGAAAGAGAAGGATAAATGATGCCGAAACCTGCAAAAAAAAAAAAAGATAAACAAATAATCACCTAAGCCACTCGAGAAGTGCAACACAAATACAGAAAAACCATGACACTGGCCTACAACCTCGTAACAGTGAGATAATAATAAAAGAAGAAGAAGAAGAAAATAAATGATTTGTTCTTAAATTTGCTTCGGTAGTCATGGGTGTATGTGTGTGTGTGTATATATATATATATATATATAATATATATATATATATATATATATATATATATATATATATATATATATATATATATATATATATATATATATATATATACATATATATATATTATATATATATATATATATATATATTATATATATATATATATATATATATATATATATATATATATATATATATATATATATAATATATATATATATATATATATATATATATATATATATATATATATTTTAGAAGTGGTATTTATTTATCAAAGTATCTTGCTGGCCATTACATACTGTATACTGATTTAATTATTAGCCCAACACAACTGCCAGCCTTCTAGAACCACTGTTCAAGGATATTTGGGAAAAAGAAGTGTTGCAAGATGACTGGACTGAAGAAACAATAGTCCAAATTCGACAAAAAAAGATAAAACAGGCTGCAATAATTGTAGGGGAATTACTCTACACTCAGTACCAAGCAAAATATTTTGTAAAATCATCATAATGCAGCTCAAAAAAGGTGTAGATTAATGGCTACGAGTAGAACAAGCAGGATTAAGAAAGGGCAGAGGAAAAACTGAGCACAACTTTACCTTCAGTAATATTTAAGAACAATGCAATGAATGGCAGAGAAGGAAATTTATTAATTTTGTGAACTTTGAGAAAGCTTTTGACGGCATCCATAGAGACAGTCTCTGGAAAATATTATGGAATTCCAGAAAAGATAGTCAGTATAATTGCTCTCTTCTATAAAGACTTTCCCTGCAGAATTCAAAATTATAACACATCTTTCCTAGCAAAGACAGGTAGGTGTAAGGCATACTTGCGTTATGCCTTGTGATTGATTGGATACCTAAGAACACAGTAGACAAGACATTGAGAGACATTGATGACTCCATTCACCACGCTTGAGGAGATTGATTTTGCAGATGATATAGCACTCCTTTCACATAAACATGAACATATACAGGGCACAGCAGAAATGGTGGGACTGAGAATAAATACAAGGAAAACTAAGATCATGACAAACAGATCAAACCAACAACCTGTGACCATAAATAACCAAACACTTGAAAATTTAGAACATTTCACATATTTTGGCAGTATAATGTTTCGACTAGGAGGGACAGAGGAAGACTTACAATCATGCCTAAACAAAGCTAGAGCTGCTTTTAGAAGGATGAGGCAAATCTGGAAATTCAACAATTACTGCAGAGGAACGAAACTCTGACTCTACAAGAGCATCATTTTGCGAGTTTTTCTTTGCAGAATGATCAAAAATGATGTGCACAAACTATCCACCTTCCTTCACACATATCTACGTAGAATTTTCAAAATTTTCTGGCCAGATACAATCTCAAATACTAAACTACTTTAAGTCACAAACCAAGAAACTCTAGACAGTATGATAACCAAGAGAAGATGGAAATGCCTTGGCTTCGTTATGAGAATGAATCCTGATACACCTCCAAAACAGCTCTCACATGGATACCAGAGGGAAAGAGAAAGAAGGAGTGCCCAAAAAACAACATGGAGACGAACTAGGCATAAAGAGAACTGATGATGAAGATAATACATAATATAGTGTTTTCTTCATCAATTCTTCTAACTGAAGACACAATTGACACGTTAAGTATTTAAACTGATTAGTTTGTTATACTTCCATTTTGTGTGTATGTCTTTGTGTGAGTGTGGATAAAGTATATTGGTGCTAACCAGATAAAAGCATGAAATACATAGTTTGTCTTCACCTAAACTGAAAACTAACCTGATGCATAGGGTAAGTAAGAAAAGTCTCCAAAGTACGACCCTCACAAGCTCCCTTCTCTTCGTATCTTTTCAGAAGGCTGTTAAATTCAAACTTCTGCTTGTACTCAGCAAGCACCTGAAGGCTGTAGTGGTGATTGCGCACATACTCTTGGTAAATGCTCAGCATTGGCAGCAACATATCAAACAAGTCCCCTGCAATATTTTACAAAAGTACGAATGTATTATTTATTCACTTTAAAGGAATTGTTCCTTGAAGATAATTTAGTCCAAAATGTGCGTACTTTATAGCAGTAATCTTCAAACATTCACAATCATCATTATCATCATCATCATCATCATCAAATTCATCATCATTATTATTACCATTATCCTCAAGTGCCTTGCAGAGGTATTTCTCTTCACAACCTGCAATTTCCAAGAGCATTCATTAGCTTATGTGCAGACACCTCTCTGTGACATGATAAAAGGCTGTCAAGAATTTTCTGTCATTGTCTTCTCTCTCTTTACAAATCCTTCCAGTGGTCACAACATGTTCCAATGTTCCTTTTCTCATAATACGGCAAAAACATATTTTTTAGACTGGTGTAGGACAGGGGAAAAAATGAGCGGGGGGAGGGGGTGGGGGGATGAATCTACAGCCTAAGTATTTAAGGCTACATGGCAAATGCACTCGCCATTGGCTGTACTAATAAGAATTTTAGGTGAATTTTATGCCGGTCTCCCCATTTGCACACCACCAGTTGTAGGTCAACTCCATTGATAAGCTGGTTGGACTAGTCTACCGTGGTCAAGGTTATGGGCACCGCAGTCTGTTGTTGTCTGGTATTTACGTTTTTATTTCTGAGAAAGAGACATCGTGTGACATAGGTTTTGTCACTGCCTAGGGGTTGTGTGTTAGACCCAGTATCTAAATGTTTTAGAAGTGTTAAAAGCTCTGGCATGGTGAAAAAAACAACAGGCGGTATGAGTGCGAGTGTAGAATATCCACATGACCTTGTGTGACAGTCAGATCGCTCGAGGCCGACCTATCAGAAGTAAGCTGGTCAGTAGGTTGTCCAATCAGAAGCAAGCTAGTGTGTTGTGGTGTGCAAATGGGGAGACGAGTGTAAAATTCACCAGATTTTATTTTTGCCCCTGAAAAACAAAAATCTAGTTCCTTAACAAGGCTTTGTACCTAAGTCTCTCCATATAAAGTCCAGTGTTCTTAATGTTTGGCTAGTTGCTCCTCACCCTACAGAAGTGTTCTCTGACCTTTTTCAAGGTCGCAGCCCCGTTTTGTGTATGTCAAGATCCCTCACACCTCTCCCCCACTATAACAAAAAGTGATTTTTTAAATGTGATTTAAAAACGAGTTGAACAAAAAAAAAGAAAAATCCCAAGTACTGTTCACGAAATTTTGAGAAAAATATGCAGAAAATTCAAAGTGTCAAATAACAAAAGAAACAGTCACTAACAACTGGTAATTTAGTGTCCAAATATCAATTAAATGGTTGAGACTATCTTATCTTGATGATATTTGCTATTTTTGGTCTGAAATTGGAGAAGGCACAAGGGAGATTACTCTCCATACATCAAGCTGGCAGCACTGTTTTGTTTTCATAACTGTTAAATCCTAATTATTACAAGTACAAATACACTAAATTTCAAAACTGATTGACATCCTCCCCCCCCCCCCCCCCCACCCCCCCCCCCCCCCCCCACTCTCCAAAAATGCTTCCTCTCAGGGAGGCATGCCCCTCAGGTTGAAGACCACTGCTCTACTGCTCTTGAAAACAGAGAGCATCACATACAATGTTACTACATCCAGTATTAGAATGGAGATGGAGACAGTTATGGCATCTTTCTGATGGCTTGAGAACAGCACTGTCTGACATGTAACAGTCTCACGGAGCATGTTTCAAAAAGTGATCAGAGTGGCTTTCAACACTTGATAAGACCCGGATCAAGAACACATCATGGATCTTCTGTCCCAGATATTCAGGTGTGTGAGGTAATGAGCACGCTGATAGATTAGCTGCTGCCGCACCTCTGTGCAGTGAGCTACTATATGATAAAGCAGAGGTTCTGAGAGCTATTCAACACTGAAGAGGAAACAGAGACATAATTTTATTCAGGATTCAACTGGTACCATTAGCATGTCAACTCTTCATTGGTTACTGAAGAAGGGGATGAAGCATGTGGGGAATCTCCCAGGTGCAGTAGTGATTTATTCTTGATTCATTCCTTCATTCCTGGCTGACAAATTCTAAGAATGTTCCTGTACCAGAATCATCCACTGCCTTTTATTTAATTTTTTTTTAGTGATCTCAAATAATAAAAAGAAAATGCACTGAAGAATAGTCAGAATTCAAATAATGTGCTTTCTACAACATAATGGCCTATTTGGTGTAGTGTCTAGACCCTCGCCTGTGGATCAGAAGGTTGTAGGACTGGGTCCTGATGGAATTGGACGTTTTTCAATTAAATGACTTTGGCTTCTAGTTCGACCCAGCCTTGAGTGTGAACCAGGTAAAAATCTTAGGAAGTCTAGGCGGCCGGTGTGATGCTGAACACATCCCCCACCAAGTGCTGATTGTTCTACAAAGTATAGGTCTGGTCCTGTATGCCCAATATGCCTCAAGGGGAGGAAAGGGTTCTAACTTTACTTAATTATGAGTGTGCTGAAATATGATCTCTTGTGCCGAATAGCACAGATATCACAATCTAGCTGAAAATCACGACACAATGTGCCAACATCCTTTTTCAGGGTGGACGAAGAAAAAAGAAGAACAACAACAACAAGAATAACAACGAGGAAAGAGGAAGGAGGGGGAGGAGAAGAACAAGAAGAAGAAGAAGAAGGAAAAAAAGAAGAAGGAAAAGAAGAAGAGGAGGATTCCATAAAATATAGGTCTAGCCCTATATGCCTAGAACACCTGAAGGCTTGGAAAAGGATCCTTTCCTTTTACTACAACATAATATTTGCAATAAATGTTTGTTCTGGTGCTTGGAGGGAGTTGACCTCCACTAGGTCATCAAATACTCTTGACATATCACAATGTTAGCTGGTGTCATGGTTGATGGCTCCGGCAGCCTTATAGGTTACTGGATGCAGAAGGACTAATATAGACTCAGAAGGTACAAAACTCACCTAAGACTAGAGTGGGCCAGTTTTCTAGGCGAGCAGTTAACCCTTTCAGAAATATTTGGTGAAGAAACAGCAGAGTCTCACTGCAAAAAACAAAAAAATTGCATATACAACTTTGTCACAATCATTTTGCTCACTAAGGCTATCTTCATATTGACAATTAGATATTCTCTCGTAAGAATTATTTATGGATTAAAACCATAAATTGATTCAAATTCTCTTTTTGTGGTTCATTTTTCATCTTTCCAGATGAAAGTGTCATATTGTGCTATAGGAAGACATTCCATAATGTAACTGACTTATAATTGTAATTGATGTGACTGTAACCAACTCACAGAGCATGTTGAGAAAGGTGAAAACAGGCATGCTTTGTGCAGAGTAGCAAGCAATCACTTCAGAGGTCCTGGATAGTTAGCATCCTTTGGATATTTTCTCCAGGTGATGCCGGTGTGTTGGGAAATGAGCAGGCAGATAGATTGGCCCCATTGTGATGGTTAAATGAGAATAACGAAGCCTGATCGCATTAAGAAAAGAGTTTGACAATTACAGCTTAGGATTTCAAGACCATTATTGTGATCAATCTGTCTATCTATCTCCTTCTTGGCCTTCCTCTGCCTCTTGATGTTTCCAACCTCATGTTGTATGCTTCTTGCAACCAGTGAGGCTAGGTTCCTTCTGACCAGGTAGCTAGACAATTTCAGTCTTTATTTTTCAATAAATCGACTGCTTTTATCAAACACGTTTTTCACACGTCTTTAGTTTCTACTCTTGTTCTTCTTCTTCTTTGCATTCACGAGCAGTAAACTCCGGCGAAAAGTTATAGGTGACTAGTGATTAGAAGAAAGGATTATCATCACAGCACTCCGGACAGATCCATAGGGGCTCTGATCTCCTCCTCAAAAGCTCCATAAGGGTGAAATGACTGATGACACATGTTCTGTGTTGGTAAATGAAACATCTTGTCCCCTTTGCTTCAGGCTGCACCCCCATATTCATCAGTCTAGACAGGGATACTGAGTCATGTCCTTTGGCATGCTCCTTGGTACGTTAAGTGCAGCGCATGGCATTGATAACATCACTTCTGACCAGTACTTGACCAGCCATAGCAACCGCAGTGTCAGCAAGATGTCCACACTCATTTCCTTGAATACCTGCATGACCTGGCACAAAGATGGAGGTTAGGGCAGATATTCGTGAAGTGCTTAGTGTTACAAACATTCTTGCCTGATAAATCCAGTTTGCATTCTTTTTTTAGCATATTCATCGAGTCACTCAGAGTGCATACTTGTGTGAACTTTTGAGTTTTGTTAATGTTATTGTTACAGCTATAGTTTCCATTGTAAGGCTGCTAGTTGTAACAGCAAAGGCGCCATTCATCTCCTTGATGGTTTTCCTCCTTGAGCTTACAGTTTATGTCCATGCACTTTGCTTGCCCTGAATTACTAACCATCTGTGTAAACTACAGCATCACCTTCATCTGTGTTTACATCAATCAGTGTTCTGACAATGTCAACAATGCCAGGAATCTGGGCTCTTGACAGGTTTCATCAAGTTTTGAAAATTGATGCCTGTTTCTACCCCTGGGCTTTAGTCGTGTTCCAGAAACAAGTGTTGCATGCACATCTGTTTTACAGATCTGAACTCATTTGTATGCAGAATGTTAGTTCCTTGCCTCTCAGGCAGATGCACTCCAACTTTGATGGAGGTTCCCAGTTAGTCGACTCCTGCAGCATGCTTTCTGGGGAAAGCACTGGGTCTATTCTTGTTTTCCCCACAATGAGGCTCTGGAACCCACATAATGACCCACTCTTGTTCTTTTTTTTAGTCCCCAGGTTTGGCACTGGTCACATAATGTTGGTAAAAAGACTGCGTTTATGATTTGTCTTTTAGTTTCCATTGGTACTGCTAGTGTTTCAGTATTGGGTAAAATTGCCAGGTAACAATGTTGGCTTGTTGGATTCTGGACTTGATCTCTCTGTTCAGTCTGCCATCTAATGTGAAGATGCTTCCGATTCACCCACCTGTTTTAGTGAATATGTGTTAATTTTTATTTCAATATTTTGATGTTCTCTTTTTATGATCATGATTTCTTTTTTTTTTTCAATGTTGACCCTTATGTTATTTTTGAGACAACCTGTTCCTGTAGTTGTTCAGTTTTACTGTAGAATATGCATTGATCATCGGCAAGCAGCAGCTCACTATTTAATATTAGGGATTGTTTTTTCCTATTTTTTAAAATATAGCCAGCATGAGTAACATCAAGATTATAACTTGCAAGCAATAAGATGAGGGTCATGCATGGGTAAGCAGGTGGGCACAAAACTAAAAATCCTAGAGGAAATAGACCATAATGCATTAAGGATTGCTCAACTTTATAGAATTGAGTAGTCCCCCTATCTACAATCCTGAAAGATCAAGAAAATATTCTGAAAGCTCTGGCATCAAGTTCTAGGACAAATATCTAAAGTGACTTCCAGTGTTAAGTACAAAGATATCAAAACATTACTTCTAGAATGGTTCAACCATATGCATGCTTCCAATCGACTTTAAGTGGATCTATCATCATCATGTAGCAGGTCCTTTGCAGAACGTCGTTCTTATCACAGTCTGCCTGCAAGAAACTCAGTCTCTTGCCAGTTCTCCCACCTTATGAACTTTCACACTCAAGGAGTCACTTATATCCTATGCCCATCTTCATGTCGGTCGGCCCCTGCCCCTCCTTCCTGGTACCATGCCTTCTGCTATAATTTTTTTCCAATCCATTGTGGCGCTTGATATGACTAAAATATTTCAGCTTTTGAGAAAGGATGGTGTTTATTAGCCAATCGTCCTTGATGTTCAGATCTTTTAAGATGTCAATATTTCTCATCTTCTTTGTCCAAGATACTCTGAGAATCTTTCTATAGCATTTCAGGGAAGATCCATGCTCTCAAAATTCTAATTTTTATCTCCTTGCTGGTACTTAACCATAGACTTTTAAAAAGCTGTTCAATCTTTGCATTGCTATGGCCATCCTCCTTTTAATTTCTGTCGAACAGTCTCCATTGTTGTTTATTATAGAGCCTAGATATTGAATCTATACTTATATTTATATATAGTGGATCTATAATTCAGTTAAAAGCAAATGAGATTACCAAAACTGTAGACATTGAAGATTTCAGCTGTTTTGCTGATAAGCTGTACCAGTTCCAAACAAAAAAGACACTCGTCTACATCATCACTGGTTTTTTGTAAAACGTAAAATGTTGATACAGAAAAAGTAAACAGGATGTTGCCTAAATCTGACCAGGTGAGAGAAAAGTAAGCCTCGTCTGATGTGTGTCATATGATGAAACTGGTTTTAAGACAGTAGTATGAAATCCTCACCCTGGAAGAGATTGGGGCCTCACCACGTAATATTCCCTAAGACAACATTGGTATGTTGTAGCCACCCTTCATTGGGAAGATGGCTTTGGGGTTTAATCGCAAAACTGAAATTTGAATTTCTAGTTAGCATAAATTTAATTTACCATGATCTCTTTTTTTCTTTTTTTTCCTTGGAGTTTGTATTAACAAGTGTTTACTGTAGCATCAACTACTTCCAATAAAATGAAAAAACTCCTGCCTGGTATTAAAAGGGTTAATGTGATTTAAAAAGAAGAGGACAAAAAGAGTTAACAAGTACCTGTTCAAAAATATTGAGTTGACGTCCTCATGAGTGATCGGAGGTTTCTTAGAGCTGGCTGCCATGCGAAGTGGTCTCAGAAAACATGTGACTAGACACGATAGCTGCCTGTTATACTCCTCTTCACATTCCACCATGCTGCAATATTTGGAGTTTAACACATATTTTTTTATATATATATGTATATATCAAATATAACAGTTATGCATTCTGTATATAACACAAGTACTTGGGCCAAATATTAAAGAGCTTCTACACTGACATGAAATAATAATAGCCATTGCTGCCCATCAAGCAGTGAATCTCAAACTGTTCCTTCCCATGATGCTAAAGGGCAGAAGTGAAAACTGATAATGATGATGATGATGACTTAAGGAAAGAAAGGCAAACATTTCAACTGCTGTGGAAAATAAAAGAAAACTGATGTGTGTAGATCATAATAGAAATGTACATTAAGGTCTTAGTCAGATATGACTATGATACTGTACTCAGTACTTTTTGGTCTCTGTTAATCCAGAATACTGGATGGCATATACTAAACCTAATATCTTTGCTTGTGCCAGTGGCTTTTGGCAAAGAAGCTCACTGAGGAGGAAGCAAGCCTTTTTCTAGGACAGGAAAATGTAACCTGAAAACTTTATGTTATGGCAGGTCAGAGCAGGCCCTTAGTCTTGGTAGGCAGCTGGTTTAGGAGGAAAGTTCCAACATGCAGACATATAAGAACACTGCTCTTCTATTCTGGCAGCTTTTGCTGTATTCTTTGTTTCAAGTAAACTGGGTTTCACAGCTTGATGCCCAGGCTTTGTACTGTGAAGAAAAGAATTTCATTTTTTATCTTAAACGATATAATCATCGGTTGTGATTTCCATGCCTACTTTGGCACAATGGAACACTATCATTTGGAAAGACATAAAGGTGCCAACAAGTGAAATGGCAGGCATACAGAAGATAGGCAAAGTGTAGAAAAGGCACGTTGAAGAAAAAACCCTGTAAAAACAGAAAACTCTAGAACAAAAATCATTAGGATGACAAGAAATGTTTGATCCTTGTATCACCAAACACATGCTTATCAATGCTACACAGTATTTATGATGAGCTTGAATTTACTTGTTGTTGTTATGGTCTTAGGATAACATAATATTTGATGCATATGTATGTCATTAAGATGTTTATTGAATCTTTACCCAATTAATCAGTCAATCACTTATGTTTTGGATCTATAGCAATCTCTGTCTCTGATTTTGTCTGTCTTTCTCTCACTCTCTCTGGTAACATGTAGAAAAGACTACATGCTTGGTTTCATTACTCTCTGGTTGTACTCCCTTGCAGATCTTTGTTGATCTTTTTTTTTTTTTTCTACCCTGGAATGCCTCACAGCATCAGGGCAGGAAGAGATCTCTGAAACAGGCCCTTCTGTTCGCTTCATATGTAGTTGTTTTCAGTGTCTCTGTAATTAACGTAGTCTGTGTTCTGCATGATCAACCTCTGGCTGTTACCACTGTATTTGTAAAACATTGCTCTCTGTGGTGCCCTGTATGTTGTCGATGATGATACACGACTAAACATTTTATAATTGTTCCAAAGTTTATCTTTCCTTATTACACCTAGTATAATGCATAAACATTTTATCTCTGTCATGACTATTTTTCTTCTGTCAAGACAATGTCTATATTTGACACTGATAGCACAGCATTGGTAAGAATATTATGTTAAACAGTGCTCTTTTAGTGTTCATATTCGGTGCTTGCATTTCAGTACTGGTGCTGTTTTACCTCTAACTTGACTGACGTTATTACATCTGTGTGCATGTATGTATGTAAGTTGTACCCTACCAAGACATCACACAAAGCTATAAACACCTGGTGACACAAACTGCCACCATGTGGTTGAGGATCATTATATTTAACGCTACTGGCAAAAGCCAGAGAGGGGCTTCAAATAACGAAAAATTGCATCCCACATTGAGATAGCTGTTTGTGTTATTACATCTGTGTTGTATTTCTTTATTCAGTCTTCTATTTTCTGAAGAAAAAATGCTTGCTAGATATGTAAAGTACTTTGTCTGCTTTGTCTACTTCTGTTTTGTCTCCACTGGTCTTCATATCATAGTTGTTGCATGCTGAGGGGAGTCTATTAATATGTTGTTCCTGTTTTACTTCTGTTGGTGCTATGATTGCCTGAGCAGCTTGAAAAGCAGTTCATTAAGCAATTAATTCTTCAGTGTTGTTCCCTTTGCTGGTGTCAGCTGATTTGCAAATTTAGTATATGTATGTTACGAACAGAAGTGGTGATAAAACACATCCCTGTCTCATCCTATCTCATTCCTGATCATATGTGGAATTTCTCTGACATTCCTGTGTTTGTTTGTTCTAACTGTGCAATGACTGTTAATGTATAAACTCTTACAGTTAAAAACGATGTTCATTCACACCACAATTTTGCAGTACCTTCCATAATTTGTTTATTTTTAACTCAATCAAAAACATTCTTTTGATCTACGAATGGGACGTGTAATTCTTTTTTGAATTACATATTTATTGATATTATCTTGCCATTTTGTCATCACCAACTACATCTTGCTTATGTGCCTTTGATTGTTTCTTTGTTGTTTAGTTTTGATGTGGGTAAATATTTCTCTTGTAATTTTTGTTTTGGTTTTTGTATTTGTGTGTGTTGTGCGTGTGTGTGTGTGTATTTATGAAGTCTTTTATTTTTCATTCTCAATCATTCCAAAGCCTCAACACTTTATTGTTTTTGTTTCAATGAAATATGATTTATTTTTCTGTGCATTCACATCTCGAAGGCCTCAACTGACTTTTAAATTACTTTTTATCTATTCCAGATTTCTACATGATATACTAACCATTTCAAACCAAACTAAAGCTTGCTAACATTTGCAAATGTATTCAAAAGTTGTGTTTATGAATTTACTTGCATCATTGTTGAAAGTGGTGTTCTTCACAAGATGATGGTATTATCTGTGTTTCATGCCCAACAAATTAGGCTTAGCATACCTGAAAACAATACTGTTTCTTTTCCGCATGCTTTCTGCATGTGGGGACCGGATGTACAATTCTACTATCTGTTTCCATCGCCGTCGACACAGCCACCCACGGAAAAAGCTTTGAACCTGCAAGTACACAGATAATACAGAAAGGCCACCAGTGCATTGTCTTTAAACATCAGTGAGAAATTGTGTTGTGTTTAACACTAAATTACTGATCAGTTGTTTCTTACTTATAATAACTATTCAAAATTGTGAGAAAAAAAAATGAAGTGACATTTTATATTCAAAATGCACCTATTTAGTTTTTCAGTTGTTGTTTTTTTTTCTTTTCACATTAACCATTTTTTGAGTTAATTACCTTTAATAGCATATTCAACATGGTAGAAAATAAATTATATAATACTTATAGGAAACTTTTTGAAGCAGCAGATGGATACAAAATATATGTGCATGTACTATATGGAATAGTTTTGTGTGTATATGTGTCTGCATGCATTAGTTTTAAATATTTTTCCTTGAATGAAATTAATTTTGTTTTTAAATTAAAATATGTGTGTACATCTCATGTGAACCTTTGTAATTTTGCAAAATATGTTGTTTTATTCTTTTCATACGCGATATCCACATTTTATACAAACATTTCAAAGAAACCTGTGTCATGTTTTACTGTTATATGCTGCCATATAAATAGATTGGAAAAATGTTTATTTGGATCTCCAATATTAACCAAATATATTTAAAAACTTTATATAATGCTATCATCTGGAAAGTTTAAAGGCACCAAACAATTATGAAATAGTAATTAATGATATCAGAAATTACACAAACAGTAGAACACATAAGGTCTATAAAACAGCAGAATATTTAAACAATCTACAAAAAGACAACCTATGTGGACACATAAATATAAAGTGAATGATAATGTACTTGTAATAATATACGCACAGTGCAACTGAATTATGTCACTACATAAAAGTATTTTATTTTAAACTCAGTACTAAGAACTCTTGCTAACACTAACTAAAGCACTTTGTGACTGGAGGGAACAGAAATAAAAGGCTTTAAAAAATATCTGAGCAGATTTTATTTTATTTAAAACTGATCTTAACTCCTAGGTCAACCTACATTAAAATGGGTACCAGGTAATGTAATGGGAAGTAAAAGTAGCCAGCATAATGCTGACCACATCAGCCATCAAGGGCAGGTTTGTAATGGGAAGTAAAAGTAGCCAGCATAACGCTGACCACATCAGCCATCAAGGGCAGGTTTGTAATGGGAAGTAAAAGTAGCCAGCATAACGCTGCACATCACCCATCAAGGGCAGGTTTGTAATGGGAAGTAAAAGTAGCCAGCTTAACGCTGACCACATCAGCCATCAAGGGCAGGTTTGTAATGGGAAGTAAAAGTAGCCAGCATAATGCTGACCACATCAGCCATCAAGGGCAGGTTTGTAATGGGAAGTAAAAGTAGCCAGCATAATGCTGACCACATCAGCCATCAAGTGCAGGTTTGTCTATAAAAATATAAGTCTAGTATCACTTGGCTGAAAAGCCAATGGTGTTATAAGTGTCAGCCATCACTAGGGTGAATGATTTTTGGCAATGGGAATTTCGGTAAAACAGTAAATGGGGAACACTTTTGATTATTATTCTGTTCCACAAACAGCATCATCATCAAGTATTTAGAAAACACAAATGTTATCACATCCTGTAAGAAAAGCCAACCAAAACACCATTCATGAGTTACCATGCCTCATAAAATCTTTAGCTCATGTTTTCTTTTATGCTTTATGTCCACCATTTTGTAACACCAGCACTTAACAAGTTTGTGCATAAAAAATATATGAGCTTCAGAGATGTTATGCTGTTGAGCAGCCAGTTTTTGTTGATATAATTCTCCTTCCTCTTGTAGTCCATGCCATGTTTCAGTGGTATTGTATCTGTGACATAGAAGTCTGTCTCACATACTATTAACTTTTTCTGATACAAACACTGCCATGATGCCAAACTTTCCAGCATGTTCTTACTTGGTTTCTTCACTTTCCCTCCAGCTTTCCTAGTGTCACTTCATAACAAAGTTTTCCTTTCCTTACAGTGTATCCAAAGAATGAACATTGGCTTCTTCTGGTAAT